GTTTTACATGAATTCAAGGGATATCTTTTTGGTTTTCTTTACAAACCACAATTAAATATTTAAATATTTGGTTGTACACAGGCAAACCCAAAAAAATGTTGGGTTCACTACCGTTAAATCTGCCTGTATAATATTCCAAGTAGTAAAAGATTGAATAAAGGGGAAAATAAAGGGGAAAAAAAGATGAAGTTTATCTGGTGGGCCAAGCAGCTTGTTGCCCCACACTGGCCCATAGGAATTCCATAACCCACGGTCATTATGCTTGAGCTTTCATCTCATGTTGCCTAGGAACAAATCCAGGTTTGATGACTTTAACTAAATGCTGGGCAGAAATTGCTGACATCACATATTTTAGCAGACAGTTTCAATAAGGCAGGAAAGCGACTGAACTGCGTGAAGACAAATGTTACTGAGAAGCGTGCCCCAGCCAGGCCGTGCTGAGACAGCTGAGCAGAGCACTGTGAGGAAGTATCTCTGATGTACCCATTCTCCACAGACACAGAACGCTGTTTCCACAGCTGAAGGAAAATGGCATCTAATATTTAAAGAGAGAAAATAATGAGAAGCCCTTTATTGTTCTTTTCTGTAGTGAGGGCACACAGAGCCCCCCTCTGGTAAAACAGACTACTATTGACCACAAACAAAATTGTTCATTAAAGTCCTTTTTCTGTTAGTCCTTCAAACCGGAGGGGGTATTGTGCAGGTCAATTAGCATGCAGCTAAAGGGGATTTTCATTGTTATAATGCATACCACTTTTACTTCAGGAGAAAAAGGATTACATGGGGGAACTTTTTATGTGATTTAATGGTGGCCATTCCCTTGAACTTAGGAAGTCTCTTTGACCGAAGGGTTATTGACTTACCAAATCTGGAAATGCTGTATTGCTGTGAGCCTTCCTGTTTATTGTGTTGACGGAATATGTTTACCGATTTTAAACAGGCTTCTGAATGCCATATGCTAGTTCCCATAAAGTTAGTTTCCGATCTCATCAGTAAGTTACATAAACTACAAAATGTATCATGAGAGGCATTTTAACAGCTAATAACAGTCAAAGGAAGTTTTTTGTAGAATTTTGAAAGTGGTTCATATAGTGCAGTACATTTCCTCTCTGAATAATATCAGGAAAAAATCTTAAATTTGTACTGTACTTTTGCACCTACAGTTAAAGTACTAGAAAAAAAGCCAAGGAAAGCTGAAGATTAAGGAAAGTGATAAAATTGCAGTACATGAAAATACAATATTGTAGTCATACTTTAACAGACGGGTTGATAAGGTACTTATTAAATGTACTTAAAAAGTGTTCTATGACTAGAAGATAATTACAATATTAACATAATATAGAGTTTATTTTTATCTCAGAGCATAATACTTACCAGTATTGCTAAATTAACTTTAAAGAAGTATAATGAAATATTTCAAGCGAAGTTCACCTCAGTGGTGCACACAATTTTGCATCACAATTTACAATTTAAAAGTGATTTTTCCCAAAGGATGTGGCTATGTATTGTAACACACCACATACAGCATGATGGTATGCTGGAATGCAAATGTGGATGTGATTGTGGTGATGATCACCTGTTCTTGCACCTGTGACCAGAGATATAAAAAGCCTGGTAAAATGTGCACTAATCATAGCTGAACCAAAATGCCTAGACTGCTACAAGGTAGAAGAGTAGAGGCCATTGAGAAGTCTGGGATGAAGATAATAGTGTCTACAGTCCACACTGCCTTGATGCTGAATAACTGGAATAGAGCACATGTATTATATTGAGCTACATTATGTCATGGATGATAATAATAATTTCTTACACTTATATAGCACTTTTCTGGACTCTCCACTCAAAGCACTTTACATGTAATGGGGACTCCCCTCCACCACAACTAATGTGCAGCCCCACCTGGATGATGTGACGGCAGCCATAGTGCACCAGAACGGTCAACACTCATCAGCTATCAGTGGGGAGGAGAACAGAGTGATGAAGCCAATTCATATCACCCTGCAACTCACAACTGGCAGCCCACTGAAGCTAAACAGGTGTGAGCCTGGTCACACTGGGATGGGAGACCTCCTGGGAAAAACTAAGGTTGCTGCTGGAAGAAGTGTTGGTGGGGCCAGCAGGGGGCGTTCACCCTGCAGTCCATGTGGGTCCTAATGCCCCAGTATAGTAATGGGACACTATACTGTAAACAGGTGCCATCCTTCGGATGAGACGTAAAACCGAGGTCCTGACTCTCTGTGGTCATTAAAAATCCCAGGGTGTTTCTCGGAAAGAGTAGTGGTGTAACCCCGGTGTCCTGGCCAAATTTCCCATTGGCCCTTACCAATCATGGCCTCCTAATAATCCCCCTCTATGAATTGGCTACATCACTCTGCTCTCCTCCCCACTGAGAGCTGGTGTGTGGTGAGTGTTCTGGCGCACTATGGCTGCCGTCGCATCATCCAGGTGGAAGCTGCACATTGGTGGTGGTGGAGGGGAGTCCCCATTACCTGAAAAGCGCTTTGAATGGAGCAATTAGTAAGCAATTATTATTATTATAGATGGGGATTATTAGGAGGCCACTTTAACAGACGGGTTGATAAGGTACTTATTAAATGTACTTAAAAAGTGTTCTATGACTAGAAGATAATTACAATATTAACATAATATAGAGTTTATTTTTATCTCAGCTCATACAGTACATTGGTAAGGGCCAATGGGAATTGTGGCCAGGACACTGGGGTTAAACCCCTTACTCTTTTCGAGAAATGCCCTGGGATTTTTAAGTACAGTGTCCCAGTCACTATACTGGGGCATTAGGACCAACATAGACCGCAGGGTGAGCTCCCCCTGCTGGCCCCACTAACACCTCTTCCAGCAGCAACCTTAGTTTTTCCCAGGAGGTCTCCTATCCAGGTACTGACCAGGCTCAGATCAGCTGAGCTTCAGAGGGCTGCAGGGTGATATGGTTGCAACTCACAACTGGCAACCCACTGAAGCTAGGTTCTTTGACTATGTAATACTATAGAGACAATGTTCTCAGCCTTTACATTGCACCTTACTTTGTGCAAGATTATGCTCTTTCATTTATGCATGACAATGCACAGTCCCATATCAGACTTTCAAATATTATCAGATATTTCCTGGTATGGCACATTGTGTGTGTGATAGACTGGCCACACTATTCACCTGACATAAACTCAATAGAGCACCCTTGTAGTGCACTGAAGTGGACAAGTGTGTGTGTGCGTTTCCTCGGGATCCTTGATCATGCACACCCACTGAACTGTGTGCATCACTCCCGGCTCATACAGAAATAAACGCTTGTGCGATACTGATGCCTTTTCATGTCTGTCAGCAAATGGAGAACACATGAAGTATTGAACTCATGCATTGAAAAAATGTACACCTTTAGCACTTAACTTCCTTCTTTTTGATAAAAGATTTAAACATGAATGTACCATAAGTGCCCCAGCATTACTAAAACATACATCAGCCTTGTTCTTGAATAATGAAATATAACAATACATTTATTTTGTTGTGTTTTAACGCATCTCAGTATATAACACAAAGTCTTTGGCAATCCCACCTGACTTCAGCAGAGCCTGCTCAAACATTTATTATTTATGTATTCACTGACCATCATAAATGTAAACGAAGCAAAAATGTTCATGGTAAACCGCCAGCAAATGCCTACCCGTCCACCATTTTATTCTGACACCTCAGGCTCCCCCCGTCTGGGGAACCGCTGCTCCAATTGCACTGAAACTTGGCTGAGTAATCGAGGGTGCTTTCCGATTGGCCTCTTGCACAAACTGCCTCTTTGTAACGACCATTTGGACAACTGACTACTCCAGAAGTTCATCACACTAAAACCTGCTCCTCACATATTGCAGTGAATTTTTTTTATGGCCACAACAGGTCATCACTTGCCTGGCACAATGCTTCTTTAAAAACTGTTTGGCCGCTGACATCTGAACTCGGCAGTTTTAATCTCCCCCCCCGACTTTACTTCCAGTTGACTCACACTGTTAAAGTGGAGTAAGACTTGCTGTTTTCTAGCATTTATTATTTAGATTTTGCTACAGTACAGCCTGTGTTTAAGCCCAAATGTTACGATAGAAATTTACATACGTAGGTCAAGGTTTGTTTGTTTTTTTTACTTTTCCATTCATTTAGGATCGCATCCTCAATTTCGACAAGCACACGCAGATTAATGGCTGGGAAATGTTAAACTGCGAACAAAGCAACTTTTGAGGAGGGAAACAAGCTGCTAAATGTGTCCTTTTAATCGTCTTCACTCCTTTTTTTAAACAAGCCCCCCCCCCTTTAATATCATACTGTATGTACACTCATTTTTGATAGATGTAGATCTAGGTACGTGGAGCATAATCTATGCGAGAACTCAATGTACTGACAGCTATTATGTCCAAGCATATGTAAACATTGAAAACGTGACGTTAAACAGACTTCGAGTACTGTTCTTTTGTGAACCTGTTCCTGGCCATGCAAGAGTTGTTAACCTCATGCCCGTCTGCAAAACAGTTGCTCTTAGGGAAAGTTGAACGGTGTAAGCCTGCACGCCATTCGATTGGATGACTGATTCCATGGATTTTGTAGTTCACTGTATAACCTATTTTTACGGCGAAGTTTACTTTGTAAATGGCAAACAATCGCACTGCTCTTAAATGTTAAACAATCACAACAATCTTAAACGTGAAACTGTGACATTGTCCGTCACGTGACAGAAACAACACACATCAAGAGTAAAACTACATTATGACTTTAAAATTCATGTATTTGTACTAGTTATTTAACGGTTTTATTTCCATTTCTGTATTGCTTCGCATTTTACACGCCTCTTCTTTTTTTTTCTGATGGATGTACACAATATTCCCCCACCAGTTAACTTTAAAACTGTCGGTCTCTTACGTGACTGTATATCCCCATTGCTGATACCGAAGTTCTCTCCCGTTCCGCGCAAAAAAACCAACAACAACAAAAGTTTCTCCGTCTCTTACCTTCCAGCGTCACCTCTCTTCCAGCCCTCTTCAGCGCTTGCACCGCCTCGTCGTGAGTGGCGTCCCGGAGATTCACTCCGTTCACCGACAGGATCGCGTCCCCGACATACAGCGCCTGGGTCTGATCCGCGGCTAGACCCTTGAAGATCTTACTGATGAGTATCGGCATCTTATTTTCCTTGCCCCCCTTAATGCTGATCCCCAGTCCCCCGACCTCCTGCTTTATGACTTTGACGATTCTCTTTCTGTTAGCTATCGCCTCCGGCACTTGCTCGGGTGAATCGGTGTAAGCTGTCCTGACAGGGGCTTTGGGGCTGTTCGTGGGATCGGGGTGACCCCCGTATGATCCATTGGTGATGCCATTCAGATTGACATTCTCCCCGGGCTCCTCGTAGCTCAGCGTGAGGGCTTCTTCGCCTAAACTGGCGAGAACTTTGTGCCACCGATCCCGGACCAAAACTTCTAAAAAACCACTTTTCTGAACCCTGCTTGTCGGAACTGCTGTTGCCACCGCCATCTTTGGAACATTCTTAAAATGCCATGTCATTAAACACACTCAGGACTTTACTCTCGGACTCCGGAGAGCTTGGGAAATAGTTTTTATCCTTTTTTTTTCCCTCAGCCGCCTAATCTCTCTCACTCCCCTTATCCTTTTTGGGTGGAGCAACCCATTAGGAAATCCCACAAAAACCGAGCAAAGTTTTCAACACGCAAAAAAAAAAAGAGAAGAGCTTTCTCCGGGAAGTTTTAACGTTTTCATTTCCTCAAAAGCTGTGAGTTACAGGTGGGACTTTTTAGATAGTTTGCATTTTCTTGGTCCCTAAACGCCAACGCTGAAATAGTTTTATTTTCACGAAGTTTCCGACGCAGGAAGTCATGAAGCGTCTAAAGGCATTTCAAGGCAGATTTTAACAAATGTATCTCTGTCCAAGATGAAGTAGCAGTAATGTTACTTGCAAAATCTTAGTTTGAAGCTGTTGACTGAACGGGATACACGTGTCTGTAAATCGGGATAAATTCGAGTTGCGAATTGAAATTTGAACGTCGCATTTCAAAATACATGTATATGAGGGATGATAATGGATTACAAATACAGATTTACTATTTTCATTTGACGTCTTCATAAGCCGTTAGAAAATACGTTTTTAACTTGTCGGAACTGTCCATGTCCTCGCTGTATTTCTCCGCATTAGATGTTAAGGCTATTGCAAGGGAAAAAATAATGTTCTTGCTTTTTAAACGTTTCTTTTATTTTCATTGATTACAGGTGACACGCTTTAAATCGAAAGTATTATAGTTTAAAATGCAAATACTAAGATGTAAAGCTATATTAAGTAGAAGCTTAAATTTGATATGGTCTTGGTAAAAATTGCTAACATTTAAAAACAGAAACGGTGACTAGGTAAAACAACTGCTGAGATACACCTGCAAAGCCTTACGTTTTTCTTCGTAAACTCAAACGAAAAACAGATACACAGCAGTGCACTAGTTTTTCAATGTATGGGAAGTGAGCTTACACTGTACATACAGTATATAGCAAAGATCCGGAACTCCACAAGAAGAAGAAAACGTTTAAACAAACAGCAATTTCGCATGACGCACAAATTCTGGTAAAAGAAACTGTCATGAAAGCAATAACTCTTTTGTCAGTTTTGTGTACCGATGCAAAGAATCCTTATCTACCGGTTGGGCTTGGGGTTAAGAATATTTCTGTGTTTTGCATACATATTCACATGGTTCAGTACACCTGAGGTGTCCCAGTTACTGAATGTGTTTTAAAAGGAATATTCGGGTACAAGAATAACATGGAACAGTGTGTAATTTGAAAATAATAACCAAACTGCGATAATCTATCAGGCATAATGCCCCTTTTATATGAAATGTTATATCAAATCTTTAAAGGCCTATATGGAACTCGTCTCTATCCAACTGGCTTTTAATTCCTACAGGCGTTTAAAGAGACCAGAGCTATGGAACCCTGCTGTAATTCTTGAGATGTTCACAGCAGTAAATCTACAATATTTTTACGAATGAATGCTTTCTGTGTTTCTACCACACTTGATTCACACACTTAGCTTTTTGTCGTGATTTCGATGCTTCCCTGCCTTCTACCATCATTTCACTGTGCTTCGATATATATTTTAAAAAAAAACATTTGTCCTGGCAAAAGTTTTAAAAAGAAAATGCGAGATGCAGAAAGGGAGGATCTGACAGGGTAATTCGGTATCTGCCCTGAGCTCAGATTATGTCACGAAGAAATCCTCCGGTTTGACGGTTCGCAGTTTATCATTGCCAGAGGAAAGGTGCTTGATGCTGGACCGCTACCCCTCTCAGAAATGATCATTGCAGAGTTCTTTCTTGCAGGCAAGAATACAAAACAATAATAATGTAATAATAACCATGAATCAATTTTAATAACAGTTTAAAATCTCACAGAAATACTTTAAATGGACACATAGTGTTTACCATAGTAATAAATGAAAATTCCTCGTTCGGACCTCTTCTTTTAATACTCCAGTTTAAAGCAGGTGCTGTGGGCGACACCTGGTGGTCAATTATTGAAGTAGCTAATAGGAGTGATGATTTTTAACCTTAATACAAAACTCAACGTACACCAAAGACGTATTTTGAAAGGCAACAAGTATTCATAAAAGCCTAAAGGTTACAGAACAAGAACGTATTTGCATCAAGCATTAATTTGTAGTCTATACGTTTCAACTTTTAACAACATGAAATCTTCTAAAATTACTCGTTGAGACTTGTATCAATAGTTGGAAAACCAAAACGAATAGTCCTTTAGATATGCCTGCTTTACAATATATAATTTATCTAATTTTGACTACTATAACTAAACAAGTCAAGAATTTAACTATTCCGTGATAATTGGTCCAGACCTGCGAACTTCAAAGTGCCACCGACTCAACATAATTAAAGCACCCTGAGCAGAACAGCAAATACCGCCCCCTTCTGGCAGAATCTTAACATTGCGGTGTTGGTCAATGTCTTGGCCACTAAATATCATTGTATACAGTAGTTGTCAGCTAAATAGCTAGTTAAATTAAATCCCGTAAATCAAGCAATGTAGTGGCAATAATACAAAATGTCAAACACAACACCTTATA